CATACTTAATTGTCATTACATGCTTGGAATCTAAAAATCATTGAAGATTGAGAACAAAGATTGAAATTTTGTATTTGAAATTGAAATTGGGTTTAAAGTGGAAGACGGAGTTTGGGAATTGAAACACTAAAAGGATTGGTTAAGTGATTGAATTCTTGGGTTGCTGAAGCTTCTAAGTGTGATTGGGATTACACTCTTGTTGTGGTGTTGATTTTGTGGGGAATTGAAGATCGAATCAAGCTTTCTCTATAACACCTTTGGGGTTGCACACCAGGTGTTCGACAAAATTCCCGAAAGAAGTTTGAAAGCTCAAACCAAAAAATCCTATGAATCAAATGGCACCAAAGATATCTAAGGAAGCTAAAGGCAAAGGAGTTGCGATTCCAAAGCCTCCCAAAAGAGCAAGAACGGGCATTGTCATCCGAGAACCCCAAGGTGGTTCTAATGCTCTGAGAAATACTTCTCCCACTCCTATGGCGACTGATTCTCCATCACAAGAGATACCAGCTGGGTATCCCTTTGTCTCAGCCACTGGGAAAGTCAAGTTTGAAGAAGCTCACTTCTATAATGAACTTGCAAGGAAGGCATACACCGACGTCTACAAGGATGTCTACAGGGCCTGCTCCTCCAGATCCATCTTTGGTAGCTGAGGATGATGATAAGGAGTGATGAGGTGGTGATGAGGGTAATGAGGATGATGGTGGTGATGAGATTATTGATGTTCTTCAAACTTTATTTTTGGGAGTAGATGCTTGATATTTTGTTCTCTAATCATGCATCATGACATCATATTTTATTGACATAGTCATTATTATGTGGATTTTATTATCTTTTTGGTTGAATGACACGTTTAACTGCTTTGACTGTTTCTCTATATTTTCTCTACTCTAAAATTGTTAACTTTGTCAATTTGTTCCAAAAAGGCCGAGAACAATGGATAATTAATGGCGAAAAAATTTGAAAAATGGATAATTTATTCAGGGGGAGTTTTTATATATTAATTTATTAAATTTTCACCAATAATTTTGCTTGATCTATGTGCAGGAAATAAGGTAAAATTTTGTCCGAGAGAAGAAGAGAACAGAGAAGAAAAAATTATGTGTTCTTAACAAATTGTAATCTATTATTTTTCTGCTTAGGTAGATTATATTTGTTTTTAGGGTTTTGTCACGAAATTGCCAAAGGGGGGAGATTGTGAGATATGATTTTTGTAATTGACAAATTTTGAAGTCAAAACAAGTCTGAGCGAGTTGTAATTTCAAGTTACCATATCAAAATCGAGATCGGCTGCGGAATTGGAAGATTGATCATACTGAGATTTACGAACAAGAAAAGAACAACATTTTAGGAAGTTGTTTCCCACTTAGGACACTATACCTATATGGTATATTCTTCAAGTTACCAAAAACAGAATTTTTCCAAGTTTTTCATACATTCTTCAGAATTCTATCAAGTGGGAACCGGTACCAAGCTTGGGAACTGGTTCAAGAACCATAGCTTCGAAGAAACCGTTATGGCCTTTGGGAACCGATTCCACTTCCTGGCTACCGATACCAACTGTTGATACAGTTTAGGATTTCAGTTTCCTGATTGTGTTCAAACTTCCTATTTGGTTTAGAATACTACCAAAAGTCCTATGAACGAAAATTACCTTTTCATATGCATATCTAGGTCTTTGAATATTCTATATAAACCTCAATTTACATCTAAGTTGATACGGCTTTTGCACTACAACTTGATAATTCTTAAAAGCCTTAAAGAGATATCTTTGCAGAAAATCAAAGTTGATTTTTCTGTCATTCTTTCTAGAACACACACAAAAACACAAGAGTGAGTTTAGAGTGTTGTTCAAATCCTGATCGTGATCAAAGTCTTGCATCTACAACGATCAGATAAGCAGATCTATACTTCTTCTACAAATTCAGATATTGAAGAACAGAAGTGAAGTGATCACACTTTTAAAGGATAAAAGCATTCGAGGAGTGTTGTTTGATTTACCAGTAATCCTTCTACAGAGATCAAGAGTAAGCCTAAGGTCAAGTGCCGTTGGACGGGTAGTCGCTAAGCCAGAGGGTTGTCAGCTATTAGTGTTTGGTAGAACGATAGAGTGTGAGTCTTAGTCAAAGTCCATTGTACTTTGTTTCAAACATATTAGATCGGTTTACTTTGAACTGCACAGTCCACGAGCTTTTTCCCGCGCAAACAGTTGGTCTTTTTTACCAATTGGGGTTTCCTCGCTAAAAATTCTGGTGTCTTCTCTAACTCTATTACTTTACTTTATTTTATTATTGCATGAGATTAATTGATTAATTGCTAAAATAAGTAAAGTTAGAAAGACACAGATCTGTTTTTAAAATACAAAACTTTCTACTCAAGTACTCTTCCGTTCCATAACTCACAGAGTTGACCAGATTTTGTTGGTAAATGACCAGATCTTACCAGGGAAAATAAACTGGAACTCGCCAGGGAAAATGGCTGGAACTACGCCAGGGAAAATGGCTGGAACAATGCCAGGAAAAGGCCAGAACTATGTTGGGAAAGGAATGTGAAGACATAGAGAATATGCTCCATGATAATAATTTCAATACTCCCCCTCAAATTTGGATGCGGAAATAAGAAATGCAAATACGAAAAGGGAAGAGAGAAAGATGGAGAACACATGCATATAGTTTGGCACTAAGGCCTACATTCACGAACAAAGAGCCACTAAGGGCTACATTTCTATTATTCAGATCTGTATATTGCTTGAGTACAAAGAACCTATATATAGGCATAGTAAAGATAAGAATATATGGTAGGTGTACAATAGTCAAAGGAGGGTGATTGGTGGAGAATTTTGACCACCGTTATATAGAAATATTTATAATTGGAAGGAAATTGACCGGATCACCGTGATTGGTGGAGGATTTTGCTCCACGATTATATAGAAATATTTATATATTTCAAAAGAAATCAATCCATGAAGGTATAAAACCAGGCTGAGGCTAGTGATAAAAATAATCTCAAACCATGAAGTTGATCTGATATAGGTGCATTAAAAAATGCCGAATGTGGCCCAGGTGGATTGCATTAGCTAAAAAATGGGACAGCAGAAATGACCGAGCTAAAAAAAAGGGCATTCCTTAATTAAAATAGATATATCTCGATGATCTAATGTATTCATCATGTAGTAGCAAAGACTAATGAGGGACAGCACCTTATCCCCACTACCATAATTAACGAAAACAGTTAAAAGGAACAACATATAAAGGCAACTTTTGACTTAACTTCTGCTAGAATATTCTTTTTGCAGTCCACACACACACACACACACAAGATTTTATAGAAAGAAAAAAAAAACTTATAAGTTGATTGGTAGGATACTAAATAAGTGTTTCTTTCGTTCTTCAACAACATGCAGCATCCTGTTTATTGATTAATTAGACTTACAAGCCCAAAATTAGGATTATGAACTCCAGGCTGGTCAAGAAGCCGTTTTGATCCATGGGGAAGTGTATATAATAGTTGTTCTAATTCTTACAATTTTTAAGTGTACCAAGTGACAATGAACTAGATGCAGATTTAATGTAACACTTTTTACAGAAATTTTCAGTATATAGAAGAGTATTAGCAACAGAGCATGCTAAGCCCCTACATATCAATTACTCAGCCAGACATGAATGATTTGAAAACACCATTCCAACTTCAAGATATAGATTATGACAGCTTTAATGGTGGTGGAATAGGATCTGGATTTTCGTAGTGTTCCATATATAGAAACTCTACTTCATATGGTGTACAGCTACCAAAGTGTAACTAACTATTTTAGCACTAAATATCTAAAACTTATCTCAAAATACAGTGAAACATCTAATTATTTATATTTTGAATGTATTTGAAGAAATGGGTGGAAAACAAAACACAAAGCTATAGGTCCCAAAGATAAAGCATTCATCCAAAATTCAAAATGAAAGAGAAAAGCATGTGAATTTCGGGGCTTCAAAATATCTTGTGATTAATTATTTTCTTTGTAAGCAAATGAGTAACCCAATTAAAAAGTAAATAAGACATTTTGATGATATAAAATAGAGGCCTGCTCTTAGAAAAAACTGCAAGACAGTTTGAACATTACATCACATAACTTTTCAATTTCTTGGAAACCACAAGCATAGGAAGAACAAATCTGGAAACAGAACCACTAAGCATACAATACATTGTGCATATTTGTGTGTGTAACTACATAATGATTAGCTTAAGTACTGAATGACTAACTCACTCAAAGGTGACAACACTCAATATGATGAAATATAGTGCTCGCATATATGATAAAATCACGATTACACAAAATAAAGTTCGACACCATTTTCAACTTTAATGTTTTTGTCCAACATTGTAAACTTTATCATTGTCATCCACTAGTGAACTCACATCCAATATATATATATATATGATTAGAGAACATTTGAATCACTTAGATATCTGGTGCCATTTCAATTGTTTGGCCCAAAAATAAATAAATACCCGGTACAAAATCCGCAGTCAATCCCAAATTGTGGTGATGTATAGTTCAAGAGCAACATAACACAATACAAATCAACAATGTAAATATACTTAAAGGATAACAAAGAACCAAAGGCCCTGTTGCCTAATGGTATTTCCTCTACCTCCCAAAGTGGAAAAGTCAGGGTTTGGGTCTCAGTATGGACAAATGGGTGAATGAGTTTCTTGCAAATGAAAAAAAAAAAAAAATTAAAAAAAAATTAATGCATTGTGAATTCAAATTCAACTACACTGTTCCAACAAAGAGAAGGAGAAATTAAGTTTACATTATTGCCAATTTTCCACCACAATAATGCAAATAATTGGGCGGTCCAGGTGGGATACCGCCATTGCCCTGAAACACAACCTCCATTGATCATCATTTTTTCACCAATCAGCAAACCAATATCTACTAAATATTGTGATTTCATATCCAGTGACAATGCATATATCATTAAAAATGTTTACGACTGATATCGTACCTCAAAGGGCTTCGTGATTTGGGCAGTCATCGTGTGATTGAAGACTAAAACTCGCAGATTCAATCATCGAAAACCTTAAATCACATTGATCAGATTCGAATCGATCAGAGTGTAGCCAGCCATAGAAAGGATAGATAAATTGAAAATATGGTCCGTATACGTAAAGATTTAGGAAATATGAGGATCAGAGGCGTAGCTACAATACGTACTTTTGTACATAAACTATTATCCCCATGTAAGAATATAGCAAATGTATACGTATAGAGAATGATTATATATATATATATATATATATAGTATATAACGTAAACGGGGGATTAAGAAAGAAAGTGGGAAATAAAATAGTACTCCTAATCCGGGCGAGAAATATTTCCTTTTCCATCCCTCTTTCTCTTGAAGAATCAACCATATATTAAGTAAGTTTATAAAAGTTATGTGGGTCCTAGCATGATACATAAAAAGTATAAAATAACCAACTAAAATTAAATAATTCAAAATTTTTGTGTAAATCATGACATATCAGATTTATACAAAAAAAATATATATATACACACAACGATTGAAAATACTCCAACCAAATTATTTTTATAACAAGTAAATTACAATTTTAACTTAGGAAGGATAGTTCGTGTATAGGATATTCAGATACGCAAATACGATTCTGGCATGTGTAAGATACGATTATAAGTATCTTAAATAGTAAATATTTTATCTTATTTTCTGAACAGACATAGTTGGGACACGACATAGACACGTTTTGAACAAATTTAAGATACGGCGGGGTAATTTTGTAATTATTATTTTTTAAAAAAAATTGGAGTTCAATGGTATCTAAAATATATTACGGTTAATTAGAAAAAAATATAAAATTTAAGAAAATAAAAATAACAAACAAAATTTGAATGGACTGTATATTGCATGAGAAATAATTGACTGGACTGTAACTAAATGAGTTAAAAAAAAAAAAAATTGAAGTTCAGGTAAATTACACACGGTAGACCTTTGGTAACTGTCAAAGGTGACTTCCTTTTATAAAATTTAGTTAATAGACCTTTAGAAAAGCAAAAGATAGGGATGTTGTTGTCTCTTTGAGCATACACGTTAACCTAGAGGGAGGTGAGCGTAATTTACTCATTATATTTCATTTATATAAGCATCATTGTGATAAATATTTCTTTCTTTATGCATAATTAAGTACAACAAACTTACATAATAGTTTTACAATAATTAACTTTCACATATATAGTTTAATCTTTAAACCCCACTTATCTAAAACTCTATTATTTTTCTAATGTTCCTACATTTAATTCGAACATCATATGCTATGTTTGACAGCACTAAATTATCGTTTTAAATTTGAGATTGAAGAACCTTTAAAAGACTTTGTATAATTTTATTTTTTTTTAGTATTTGGTTTTTATGAAAAAAATATATATTAAAACTTAACAAAAATAACTTATTTATCAATTTTTGGTAACTCGACTTAGACCTTTGCCCAAATATAAAAAAATAAAAAATAAAAAAATATATTTTACCTGGAAAAAATATATATATCAAACAAACTGATAATATAAATTTTGAACTAAATTAACTCCAATTCCAAATAAGGGACTACCTAATAACATTAATTTTATATGAAAGTTAATTAACTCCAATTCCAAATAAACTCTTTTTCCAAAAAAAATCGCTCACTGTCTCTCCTCTTGCTTATTCCCACAATTGGGGGAATATTTTGCGCCAAAAATGAATGTGCAAATTAAAAGCCTCTGTAATGGATTTTGCAGTTTAAATAAAAAAAAAAAAATAGAGAATTTTGCAATTTAGATTTCAGAAAAAATAGAGGAATTTTGCAATTTAGATTTCAGAAAAAGAGAATAAACCAGAGTTTCTAGGCACCAAAAATGGTGAAAAATAACATTAATTTTTGGCATGAAATATTCCTCCAATAGTAAAGAAGAGAAAGGTAGCCATCTTTTTTTGAAAAAGATGAAGGAGAGAGAACGCCGTTAACGTCATTAAAGTATTGTGAATTTTTCTTATTTTAAAACAAGCTTCTAGGCACCAAAAATCATGGAAAAGAACATTAATTTTTGGCATGAAATATTCCCCCAATCGTAAAGAAGAGAGAGGGAGTCATCTTTTTTTCGGGAAAAAAATGAGGGAGAGAGAATGACGATAACGTCATTAAGGGTCCGTTTGGTTAGACGAAAAGTTAAGATGGAAAGTGAAAGTGAAAAAAAGGAAAAAGAAATCAAGTTTCTATCATGCATTTGGTTAGCAAGATTTTTTTTCAAAAAAGTTGTGAGAAAAAATTATTTTGTTAGTTTGGAAAGTATAAAAGTGAAAAGAGAGTGATTGCAATTACCAAAATTACCCTTTTAGTTATAAGATTACTTTGTACTCTTTTGAGACATTACCTATCTTCTGAATTATGAACAAAATTAAAATTTTAAGTTCAAAATGAAACAATGAAACTGATATTTAATAATTATATATATGTGATTATAAATACAAGTTTAATTAATAAAAAAATTTGTTCGAAAAATATTTAGGAAAAAAGATTGAAGTTAATATATATATTTTTAGTCATACAAAAAAAAAAAAGTTGAGTCTGAACGAACGAAATACAATGCTTCAACTAAATTAGTTTGATACATCTAATATATGTAGAATTAAAATTAAATTAATTTGGTACATCTAATTACCTAGAGTCCTAAAATCGAGAGAAGTATATGTATAAAAAAGTACATATACGAATTAAATTATAAATTGTATGGGTAGAGACACTAATCTTAATTTTTTTACCTAACACTCTGCTCTTAAATATTCAGATATATATATATATATATATCACTCTAAATCATTATTAACTATGGAAAGAAAAAATTATAATAAAATTTTAATTTTGTATGTACATATAAAACTATATACAATTAAAATAGTATTACATTATTATATAAACAATTTACAATAGAAGGGAATTGACCTATTAATGAAGTTTGTGGAGAAAGTGATATGGGTATAATAGGAAATTAAGATATATAGGCACCACTTTGACGGGAAAGTAAAATTTCCTTGTGTTTTTTGCGAGAGAGGAAAATTAAGCGTTGCGAGAAATTTATTTTCTAAAAATTTTCTCTTTCACGCTAACCAAATTCCTAACAAATTTAAAAATTTTCTATTTCTTTTCCTTTCTTTCTATTTCATGTTAACCAAACGAACCCTAAAGTATGATGAATTTTTCTTAATTTAAAACGGTGTAGTTTTCAAACTTTGATAAATTTTTCTTACCTCAAAACAACCCAGTTTTCAAAATTTCTTTAAATTAATTGAAAGATCCAAATTCATATTTTACTTATATATATATATATATATCGAAACAAATAAATTAAACAAATTTTGAACTAAACAAAATCCAAATCCAAGACAATAGGCTACCAAATAACATTAATTTTATTCAAAGCAACACCATAAGTTTTTCTTCAACGTGTACAATAAGCATGAAAAACCCATAAAAACTAGTAATAATATTTTAATGCATCTACGTGTACATATATCTACAAAATACTACAAATTTGATACGTATCAAGTTATGTACCTACAAATGTGGTGTATAATTTGACCTCTTCTTCACACGTAACTGTGAGAGAACAATTCTGATTCAAGAAATCGAAAGCTCTGAGTCACCATATAATCTCTATGGTTCGCTATTAAGAAGAGAGAAGAACACAGAGCAACAGATAGGGCCTCTGTATTTGTGTGTGTATGATACACACACTTATATACATACATACATACATGTATATATGTAATGGTATGTATATGTATTGTTAGGGCATGGAGGTTGAGGTATCAGGTTCGGAGCTCACCGGCGGTGGCCGAATCGAGAGGGTCAAGACAGAGAAGGATAGGGTTCGGGTGAAGAGGAAAGCGTTGGAGGCTGCGCTTGAGGAATGTCAGAGAGCTCTCCAATTGATCAGTAACACCTCCTGTGTCGACGGAGAAGCCGATTATGCGGAGGCGGCGGAGGAGGAGGAGTGCGCCGAGGCTTCCTCAGGGCCGTGCTGCGACAGTGAGGCTGATGAGGTGAGAAATTTTCGTGAATTTAGGATTTGGATCGTGGTTTATGGTGGCATGTTCAGAATATGTGTGTTTGATCTAGGATGGATTGATTGAATTGGGTCAACACCCTTTGTTTGGATCTTCAAAGAAATTATACCATTGAACTATTGAAGTGATTGGGTCTTTGACTCTTGGGCTAAATCTTACATTTTTAACACCAAGAGAGTCAATTTACATTTCCACCATGTGTTTTACACATCCCCTAGCTTGCATACACACATACATTAATCGAATTAAGATTATCTACTTTGGGACCTGCCATTGCGGCATATTTTGATGTATGCTGCAAATTTGATTTTTGTCTAACATCGTGTTTATATTGAATAAAATACATGTTCGAATATCTTACTGCTATTATCATGTTATCTGGCTTTTAGTTGGATTCATGATATATATGGTTCTTTTGGTTACAAAATCGTTGTCTATGAAAGTTGAATATAGACAATGTCATTTTTGTAGTTGAACATGTTGACAATATTATATAGAAATTTCAGTTGATTTCTACTTTGAATTGAGTCAAATATTACTTTATCATCTACCAAATCTGGAAATTTATAAATTTGAAATAAGTGCTACAATATAGATGACTCTATGAAAAGAGGGTAATAGCTTCATCTTAGTGGTTTAAAACTTCAAATAAAAACTACAATCGTCTTTTCCTTTTCCCTATTTGCAGATGTGTGATCTTCTCAAGTCTAGAGTTGAATGCCCTGATTTCCTCGAAAAGCTAGAGAGTGCTCAGGCTTCAATTCCTCAAAATATGACCGGTATGGTAAATAAACTGTCCCTCTGAGAGTCTACTATTGTATGATATTTGTGGTGATGTAATGTATAATACGCTGCACAAACACTTCTTTTTCTTCATATTAAAAGTTGAAGCCTTCAAATAAGTTGGATTACCTTCAATAGGTTTTGATTTCAAATAATTAGTCATGCCATTTTTATATTTCATCATCACCCCCTTCTTTTGCCCTTAAATTGTGGTAACTGTAAATCCATGTATGATTGCAGAAGAAGGTAATTCTTGGGACATGGTCAATGAAAATGATATATGGGAAGTTGGCAATATCGAGCTGGACCATGAAGAGTACGTTCTAATTAAGCAAGAAGATATAGTGGAAGGTGTCGCATGCTTCATGGCTGCATATCTATTATCCCTTAAAGAGACCAAGGTATGTGAAAATTTCCTCATTATTTGATATAGAATAAGTTGAATATTTGACTTAAATTGAGTTACTCTTACCTTAATTACTAATATGTTGCCCATAGCTGCTATTTATCAAAAGTATGTTGCATATAGCTACTCTTTTGGTGATTTTCTTATTTGGTGGTTGATAAGGAAAAAGGAGAGGCATATTTCTCTTATATTATTGTAATTCTCCATCTCTTTAGGTTTCTTTCCTTGCTCAAACATTCACGGATGTGATTAATTGCCTCACTAACAAGGTTTTTTGAAGTGGAATGTTGGCTTGATCCTTAAGCTTGTGTTATACTATCTATTAAGCGTCAACACTCTTCGAAATTTGAAGATTAAAGTTTTCTTGTTATTAAGCGTCAACACTCTTCGAAATTTGAAGATTAAAGTTTTCTTGTTATTAAACGTCAACACTCTTCGAAATTTGAAGGTTAAAGTTTTCTTGTTATATTGTTCCGTTAGGATTAGAAGTCATGTGTTGGCAATTTCGTACTCAAAACTTCGGTTGTAATGTGTGTCAAAGTCTTGAGTCAATCGTCTACAACCATGGAAGATGATAGAGATGGAGTTTAGCAAAGAACTTGAAACAAATCTCCCAAGACTCAATCATATATCTAGGGTAAAGGTAATTGAGACCGTGGAGAGCAATTATGACCTTGGTATGATCCTTAAAAAGGTTCAAAATTAGGTTTTAACCTGGTTTATAAAAACTGGGATTTTGAAAAAAATGAACTCTGAAATTGAGGATTTTTACACATAGTGAACATCAATTGAATGGTTGACCAGTCAAGAATTTTGTTGGAAATTATATCAAAATTCAATAAGCTTCGATCAATCGAAGCTATGGCTGTGGGTCAATCCATAAAACCCTGCATAGTGTTACTTTTGTAAACACTCTCAAATTACTATTCTAAAATGATTTCCTTTCCTATTTCACATAGAACTTCTATATTAGTTATAAGTATATGGGTTATAGTCAGTTCAGTGTATTTCACAGGAGCTTTTACTTCTTTACATATTATCAAGTGTAGGGAGAGAACTTTGAAAAGCAATCTAGTTTTTTTTGTTTGGATTATCTTAGGATATCATCTACATGTGAGTGAGAAAATGAAAGTAAGGACCTGAATCAAATGTATCAGACAAAACATCAATCGGGTGGTCCGTAACGAACAAGTTGAACAGACATCACTATTCACGGAGACCAGAAATTCATGGAGAAACAAATTATGTAAGGAGCAAGTATGTCGATGGATCAACGGCCGTAAGGATCAAGGGTGATCTTGCGTAAGTCTTAGTCAAGAGGGACTAGGTGATTCTTGGGTGAATCTGATAAGTGATAACTTAGTTGTAACCTCTTTCTGATAGTGGATTGTGATATTCCTGGATTAGGTTCCATGGTTTCTCCCAGTTTTATATGTAAAAAATATTGTTCCTTTTTTCCAGTTGCTTTATCTGTGTTTGTGATTAAATTTGGGACATGAATCAAATTATTTAACTAATTTTAAATAAGGATTAGCAGTAATTCAAAATTTTAGTTGTATATTAATATCTATAAGATCTATTCACCCCCTCTAGCCTAATTGAGCGCGCACAATATGACCTATCAGAGCCTTTGGTAACAGTTTTTGTATTTCACAATTGGTATTAGAGCATATCGATTGTGGAATTCAGGGTTATAGTTTGTGTATATATTATTCACCATTTTGTATTTAGATTATATAGGCTGATTGATTTTGGCTGAAGACGAGTTGTGATTTTTGATGCATCAGCTTTGAGAGCTCAACCTGGGTACGTATGGAACTTTGAAACCAAAGTTCTTATTCATCTGCACTGTTTTTTATTCCCCAATACAGTTGATTCATCCAACTCTCTTTGTTAGTTTGCTTTAAACATTATAGTACCTCAAAGTGGTTCATTCAATGCCATCACCATCATCATTGCCTTTATCCCATATGAATGTCGGCCACAATTTATTTATTTTTTCCTATTCTTTTTTGTTATAAGTCATATCTCGTATTCTATTTAATATTTTAAGATTACTGCTAATTGTTTCATGATTTTCATTCATCCCATGTTCGTTAGCCCCTTTTAACCTTAGATCCTACACACTGAGTTAACATTTTGAGTTAATTCAAGGCTTGAGATTATTTGGCAATCGTGAACATATATATATAAAGGAGAAGCAACTCCCCACAGAAAAAAGACATGTACCTTTAACAAGCAGCTAAAACTGAACGTTAAAATATGAATGTGTGCAAATGTGCTGTTTATGTGATTTACTTATAGATATCAAAATATATATTTTTGCTTTGTTTAATAGCTGGCAATTTAGAAAAAAAAAAAAAAAAAATCAGCTGTTGGACTTCATGGTCCATATCTTGTTTGATTACATTTGGTGGTTTGTAGGTAAGTTTATTGTGCAATACAGATTTTCCTGGTCTCCATCTCTCTCTCGTCCTCAATTTAAGGGATAGCATACATCCTGGTGCTTACCTGTTTACTTAATATTCATGCATTTTTTTTTTTTTTTTCCAAGCATCAGATAATAGATTCCGATGGTGTATTGTCGTTTGTACTACTCAGTCCATTTCACCAGAAGTGGCATTATGTAGTTGTCTAGAATATACTTAAGAACATATGCACTAATCTGGCTCTTTCACTGCATTCATTTGTCAATTCAGATTACTGCTATTGTCCAATCTTTTTTAAAGATGGACCTGGCATTCTGAAAGAAAGTTATGTGCAGTTGGTATATATGTGTTGCACGTGTGTGTATTTATAAGTATCTGATCTTGGGGATTGATTCATTGCCTTCCATTTGCAGGATTTGACCCCTACTCAACTCCAGGAAGGTTAGATTGGTTTCTTCTTCATTTTAACATTTATTTATTGATTTTTTATTTTTTATTTTCGTTGTGGGGGAGAACAGAAAAGAAAACCTATCTAATTGGCATTCCTCTTGTTCATACGTCTATGACATGTATTAAGTCTTTCAGTTGTATATTGGGATTAGAAAAGGTCTGACATTCTGTTAATTTTCTATTAGCCCTGAGCAAAACATTCTCTGTAAAGAAGAAGAAGGGAAAGCTTCGAAAGGCATGGGATGGAAGCAAAGTCATCTACAATGTGGCGTCCTGGGGGGCGACAGCTATTGGGTATGTCATTTAAATTGATTTGGCTTATAATGGTTATATATCTTCTCTGTGTTTTTGCTTATGAGGTGTTTGGTATCAACGTGGACTACTGATTATCATCAACGTGGACTACTGATTATCACATTGACTGTATTTTGATATAATTTGGTGTTTTAAAAAGTTGTATTACTAAAATATTGAAGCTTAAGCGTAAACAAATAATATCAAGGTCTCTTTCATATGAATTATTTCTGCAGTACTATTTTTGAGGACTGAACAGAGTAACAAGGTCTGAAGATTAATTTCAGTTTTCTAAGTTTGTAAATGCTTACTGAAATGATAAAAGGTAGGCGCTAAGTTGGTGAATCCAAGGTTCATATACATCCCTGAGCTGAACCTATATATTCTGTACCCCCCAAAAGTTTTGTTTCGATACAGTTTTCAGTTATTTGGTTGAGATGCTGCTTCTTAATGTTTGAGGGCCAATTATCAACCTACCAAAAAGATAGGAAGTAGTACTGGTGTGGTGTTCACCTCACTTGTTACTGATCTTGTAAGGAGGTGGGATTTTTATGGTACAATCCAGCCCTTTCGAACTCTTAACCGGTTTGACCCACCTGCTGGTATTGGAATAACTTCTGAACTACATGCTACATCTTATTTTCATCGAAGTGTCATATGAGCAATTCTCATTACCATCCATGTTAAAAAATGACAAGGAAATGGAAATAAGAGAAAAGGAGAAGGTCAAACATGTTAGTGTAGCCATGTGTAGATCAGTGGCAAATGTACATGTGAGAGATTGGAAGCCTAAATTGCAGAATCCAGATCTAGATGATCCACCATAGCTCTGCATTTGATCAGTGGCAAATGTATGTATACCTGAGAGGTTGGAAGCCTACATTGCGGAATCCGGATCTAAACACTTCACTAGAGCTCTGCATTTATATATATATATATATATATATATATATATATTATTATGTGTCCTTTTAAGTTTCTTATATATTTCTTGGTTCTTTTATATAATTTGCTATGGTTTAAGCTTTTGTCAATGTCACATTACATGGATTACATACGTATGGGCGCCTGTGCGTGCACGTGAAGTTGTGCTAATTTTAGTCTATTATGTGTCAATCCAAACAGGATTTATCAAAACCCGGCTCTTCTTAGTGCCGCCTCAGCAGCTTTCTGGACTTCATGTCGTGTTATATCTAAGATCTTCTAATCTGCTTTGTGCTGCTCGGAGAAAGTCCTGGACCCCTGATGCATAGGGTTCTTCAGTGTTGTGCTGCCGAAACAGCTTCGTATTCGGCCTACTGTGCAACACCAGCGCCATTCTTTGTGTGCGCTACGGATGCACTGAATGCTGTGACATTAGATCCTGTAAATATATTCAGTTAAAGAAATTCTACGTGCAGATACAGTTGATTAGAATCGGTCTTAATGTAATGGTTCTTGAAATCAGCTAAAGCATTTCGAAGAGCCTTTTTAGGGCCTTTCATGTATACCATTCTTCACAAATCAATAAATAATGGTATAATTTAATTGATTGGAAAGGAACCCTTCATTTGTTCTTGGCTTGTTTAGAAAACATTATCTTCTCTTTTTTGAAATGTCTATAAAGAATGTTTTAAAAAAATGCTCTTAAGAATTTTTAGTATTTGACCGTGAAAACATCAGCAAACTTGGCCTTAGCAACTATTGATTGAAGAACTAATATGTGATAACTAAATTTTCTCCGGTTTCAAATTCAAAGCACATTTTCGGTGTTCCAAAAGCAACATTAAGCCTTTTCTTTTTGGGAGAGACCTTAATTATTAGGACCGATCTTTAGTAAAATCTTAGCACGCCTTGCCTAGACAGATGACAACTGTATATCATCACTCAATTTACACAACTATTCACTTACTCTTTTCAATTAATTTAAACTACAACAACTACAACTGAATCGGGAAATTGTAAAAAAATATTATATATTTTCAAATGCAAAAAATTGAAACAATCCAAGATGTGGGGGCTTACAGGGTAGGTGAACCCAAATGAACCAAGTCATTCACTGACTCTACAAAATTGGCATAAACCTGTGGTTTAAAACCATGTTATACATTTTGATAACCAAAAGGACATCCATGATTCAGCAGGCCACAAGGAATCTGATAAAACCCTCTATCTCCCGCTTGTATTTTAACATTCTGTTGACCGAAAAATGACTTCTGTTTTTCAGCAGGCCATCAAGGAAATCTGATACTATCTCCCGCTCCTATCTTGACAACATATATACATTTCTATGCTCCCCCATCCATCCATCCCCTTCTCTCTCTATATATACCAATGTTGGTCTCATCAATCATATCTGGACACAAGGTTCAAGTCTTAATAGTAGTATGTGTTGCCTTTGTGATTTGCAGTGTCTTTGCAAAGCATTGACCGGACTTCAGCGATGGATGCTGGGGGCTCCAGGTCCTTCTCATTAAGGGAGTTGCCGAGCAGCTGCTGCATCTGCGATGCAAAAGTATCATCCAAAATCTGCAAGGTACAGAAAAATGACAACAAGTGGCAAAAATTAACGGCAAGTTGAAGAAAACGGAAAAAGAATTACTTATATGTTATGTGCACCACTTAAATGACTGCACTCTTGGAATGTTTAGCATTTTTATTTAGATATTCCTCGGTGTTAATAAAAATTCCAACACCAGCCCAACTGAATGATATCCACTAGTCAGGCATTCACAAAATCTAGCAACCACATTGTATGCTTCGATCATGATTCCTTTTAATTAATGCTGAAACATAATCGGTAGATTGATTCCTAACATCCAAATAATTCATTGTCGCCTACAAGTAAAAAGCTGATACTTCCAACATTCTAGTTGTATCTAAACAAACCAACTTGATGTATTTCTTTTGTTCGAACCGCAATTACTTGCATGAACTGAAATTAAATTGTCAGCGAGTTTAAGGTCAAAAAAGGCAGCTACTTACATTGACAGCAATTCTTGAACCTTTATACCAAGATCTATTTTCTTTCCTGTTCTCCAAGAAACTCAGAACATCCTGTGACAAAAAAATACAAAAATTTGCTCTGAAGATGGTTGAACCAATAAAATGGAGTGGTATAGTCGATAATCACCAGATGCAAATAACGCACCTTTCCTATACGATCCCAATAACCCCGACAGATTGCAATGAAGACATGGGTTTCAAAGACTGTGTGGAGGTGATTTATTGTATCAATCAGCTGGTCTTTTAGTGGCTGCATTCTGCTTCTTATGTCTGATTCTACCGCGCTCTCTTTAGAATCCTGAAGAATCTTTTTCAGTTTTGTAGCACTCTGTAACTTTGTCTGGAACACAGAAGAAAACAGAACTAAGAAATATCCAATAAATTAAAATCTATTATTAAATTTTGAAGAAAAGTAAGTATGAATGAACTGATGTGTAAATGTGGGGGCAATCATGCAACACACGTCGCATTCCAAGGAGCTTATTTTTTAAGCAATCACTCAAATTCTTGCTTTTCAGGAAATATTATATTGCAATCATAGTTTTAGGATTGGAATAAGATCAATTTCATGAAATAAGGTTGACATGTGAAAAACAAATTTTGAACATTGCAAAATTGATTACAGAGAGAATCAACTCCCAACAAGGACAGCACAGACAGAGAAAATACAGAAGGCCATGTCTGGCAGATCATTCATCACCATGCTAACACGATTATGGTAGAAAGCCTGAGATAAGGTCTCCACGTGCTCAAGTAGTGGGTAGCGTTATGGACAATTTTGCATGTACCTCAAACTTCACAAAATAAATTCCACGTATATACTTTTTTTTTTCAAGGACACAAGCATCTTCTTTGTGGAAATCATGTACTCAAATATCTTTTTGGGTCTATGAGCCAAGTAATCAAATGACTTATTGCAAAAATCATTAAATTTATCATGATTTATAAATAGAGACCAGTTAAGAAGGATATTAAGATTTTTAAATATATATATATTATGATTTAAATTGGAACGATTCACGGCCAGGTATGCAATTTCTGAATGATACTCACATTTTCTGAAAGCTTTTCCACAACTGCTTGCAGATAATTTCTGAACTTGGTTCTTAGCATTACAGTTACTTCACTAAGACGCTCTCCAGGAGCCATGTTTCCTCCATCAGGAATGCAAGAACCCCATGTCTTAAACTGATATTCTATCTTAGGGCGCAGGATATCAAGCATCCTCTTCATGGAATTCAAAAGAATTCCCAGCTGAAATCAAAACCAAACTTTATGCAAAAGAATATCAAGATTAAGATTAAAAAAATAATCAAATGATAGACAAGCATAGCTCACTTCATCAGGTACGACATAGGGACAGACGGATCGTTTTGCCAGCTTCTGGACATATTTGAAGCCAAATTTCTTGGGTGCCATGTTTTCCTTTAATGGCAACAAAACATCTGCGTACTGCTTGTCCATGGCCTCCACAATCGCCTTTTCTATGTCAGCAATAGCCTTTTTGTATGCACAACAAAAAAAATTCATAGATAATTAGATAATAGTAAATAATTAACAGTTCATGATAAGATTTTCCTTTTAATTTTCTTTTTGCATTTACAAGTATAAACCGAAAAAGGCCACACCATTGTACTTTGGGAAACAAGGATAAATTTTTGCTCCAATTTTTTATTCTTTCATCCTTTTACATTTAGGTTGGACCCCAATCTCACTTCCTATTATAAAACAAGAATCTTCTAATTCCGATACTAGTTATAAAGCAGTGAAGTTAGTCATAAAATCAGATGGATGACCACAACTTCATAATTTTTTTAACCATAACCTTCCAACACATAAAGCAGTAAAAGGAACAGGATAAGAAAAAGAAAATAATAAGGGATGAAGTACCCATCAGGACATACATTTTCCAACACAAAAGTGTATTCTGGCCAGCGACATATGATGACCTCATAATCATTCAAAGTTTCTTTTAAGCGGTCATACATATCATCCACAAAAGGTGTTGTTGAGTGTTGTGTCCTCACTCCTGACCATTTAACCTGCAAGTCAATAAGTCCTTTTGAGCATCATGCAACATGCCATAAATGAGGATACCAACTTTTTATATACTGTAGAAAACTATTCTTTGAGATAGTAATTCTTCGTCAAAACGATCATGCAAAACCAAATCAAAGCTCTCCCATGGTTTATAAATGCTATAAATGTTAGGAAGTTTATACGTCTAGTTAAAATTGGCCACAAAATATTCTCATGATAATTAGCTAAATACTATATGAAGCAAGAAAATGCAAGGCTACTAATTATTGCTACCTGCAATAATATATGCAACCCTCTTTTAGGGTTTAAAAATGTAGATGTAACCGAAATTTGACATGAATGTTCATCTAGCTGGGCTATTCTGCATGCTGCTAAATCTAAATTACAAGTTTCTGAACTGGTATATGCTAAGGTGTATACAACATAAATTTAGACGTAAAGCAGCATTGCTTAATATATGTACCTTATCCAATTTGCATGACTCGAGCAAAGCAAGGCGCTTATCTTGAATCCAGAGGACAATATACAAATGGAAGAGTTCTTTTGCATCGACTCCACCTTTGACAGGACTGAGAAGGAATAAAAATTAAGTGGGAAGAATTAAAATTAATGTAATAGCATTTGCATCAAGAAGCAGAACAATGACAAAAAAATTACTTAATATTCCAGCTGGCAAGATCCCTCTGAAAATCTGCTGTTGCAATGACAAGTTCGGCTACAGGAGGTGAGGGGCCTGCTGGAGGACATGCAATGAGGAATGCACGCAGTCTACTGCAAAGTTCTGCACTGTATATCGACGATGAAAGATTGGGGAGGTCTATAAAACTGTAAGAAAGAAAAAAGCCAAAAAAATCAACAAATGTTAGAAGTTCAGATGTTTCATATAAGATAACCAGATAAGCCACCACAAGAAAATACATGTGAGAAAAATGTAAATTATTCAAATATGTCTGCAGTCAAGAATTGTTCTTATATCCTGGATTCTGTGATTCTCTGTGTAGCATATCGATCAAGGCACCATTTGTAAGTTAACAAATGTTTCAACATGAACCTATTCTTCGATAATATGTACGACAGAGAGAGAGGAAGAGGGTGGATCTAGAGATTATTGGCAGGGATGGAAAAATTCCCCAATCCGGTGGGTCCCCCGCCCCATTTGTGGTGGGTTTGGGGACCCGTTTATGTAAATGGGGAGGGGATGGGTACCGTATTTGAAAACCCATCCGGGGGCGGGGGGTCCCCACCCCGTTTATAGTGCGATTTCACAAAATTGCCCTTGCATGTTATGAAATAACGCTGAATTATATGTGGCTTTGCTACAAGTTTAATCAGGTTGGAAAATGTTATAGGCGTGCAGCTTGATCAGTTTGAAATGATCATGTTTTAAACTGTTCTAGCTATGCTGAAGCTTTATTAGGTTGAAAAATGTTATGGCTGTGTTGATTCTGCAGAAGCTTGGAATTTTTAAAAAGTGTTATCTCGTTCCCCATCCCGTTGCCATCCCTAATTATTGGCATTATATTATAGTATGAAAAAAAACTAGTATTAACTTGATACAAATCAAAACTAGCTATACAAGTTATGTAAAACATAAAAAAACTTAGAATCACTGCAACAGCAGAGATAAGACAGTGGGGATCAATTTATATATCTATCTATAATATATATGCCTCTGCAAGAGTCAGTAGTATGCAGAAGATCTTCTTCACCTTTAAGTTACAAGAACATGAAAAAAAAACATTGAATGAATGATCAAAACCCTTTTTATTTCTGAAATGTTAAAAAAGATGGTAAAGATAAAAAGGGAGTATCTTCTTTATAGAATATCAGAATAGCATCATGCAGTATCCTAGTAAAAAAAATCACCCAACTAACAGTTTGTCATTTGATGTGCCTTCTTTAATTATTTTAAATTGGCATAACAGATGCCGTATCAGTCCAGTTTGACAATTTCATGACTCCTGTTAATGGCCTAAACACATAAAGATAAATTATTTTCAAATCCCAACTTCGAGTCCAAAGACATTGATGATCCATCACTCCTGTTAACAGCCTAACCGCACAAAGATTAATTATTTTTAAATCTCAATTTCGAGTCCAAAGACAATGATGGATACTGACAATAAACAAGCCTCCTCTATACACATAAACCGACACTACCAATAATAAAGGTGGAATCCAATATATACCAAGAAAAAAAAAGTGGAATCCAATCTGTGGTATTTGACATAAAGAGATTTTGCAGCAATCTGGTATCTCCACAACAATTAACAAAATAGCAGTGTGATATCAGTATTCCTCTTATACAAGTATATTCCTTAAAACAACACGACAAAAATTGGAGACTAAAGCATCTCAAGGACACAAAAGAAAAGTTGACAAAAAGAAAAAAGGTAGGCCAAAAGGAAGTAACAATTATAAAGCACCATAATTGGTAAGTGGAATAACAAGATACTCAATGCATACAAAACCAAATATACCGTAGATAAACATCAGAATTTCACTTGCCAGTTATTAGACTATACGCAAGATGTTCTTAAAATATACCAACAGAATATAGCATTGAAAGCAATATAAAAATAGAAGACAAATATTTAGAGGGCTCATTTAAATCTTTTAACTTCATAAGTATTACTTATTTATCACTTTTTCCAATACTTTCCCTTCAATATCTTCAGAATAATGACTCTATTTGGTCTTTATGGAAAAAATATCAAGGAAAAGTTGAATCCTCTGATGTCAGATGGGCCAGCATTGTTGATAGTGCTGATTGAAATATGTATGATCTATGCGATTGAAAAATTAGCATAAAATGAGATTAAAAAGTGCTTTCTTTTTCAACTGTATGCAAAACACTACTATAAATTTTCCAGTACTATTTCCAGTATCTACTAATCCAAACAGAAAATGGAGCTCATACATTTTAAAAGAACCTACATCGAAGCACATAGGAAAATTTTAAAGCAAGTGCTCTCAAACTCTGAAATCCAGTCAACGTGGAATTTCTAACTAATTACATGCTCTGACTTTTTAGTAATACAAAAAAAAATAACTGTAATACTTCTAGAAATATTTGGTTTCTCAGAATGGCAACACTAGGAAATTCATTACTAATTAGGTTTTGGCCAATACGTTAAGATTTGACACACCAAGATGTCATGAGAATAAGATTTTACTAATTAGGTTTTCTTATATAATGAAAACTATGACTTTGACACTCAGCCCCATGCAAAAGATAATACTTTTATCGATCATCTTTTACAAAGTAAATTTGACTCCCTTAGACGGTGAAATGTTGGGCAGAAGATCAAGCTGCATAACATGAGTGGTCAAATTAACTATTTCCTTACACTTCAATATTGTTCATTCGACACGGAGGAAGAAAATTTACCTGGGAAGTATATGTTGATTGTGGATCTCTATATCAGTAGAAATTTCATTTTTGATGTTCAAACAAAGGGATTTCATCTTCTGATAAGCAGTAGAAATAGTAACAGTATCCATCAAAATGCCTTCACTATTGCCGGCAACAAACTCATCCGTCTCGGTTAAGTGCCTTCTTGATCTCTTCTTTGCAGCAGCCTGGGGATACACAACAAATTACTAAAAACTTAGAAACTTGAACAAGCATCACTATGTTTACGTAAGTTTCACAGACCTGGAAATGGCTGCACAGTTTATTCTGTGCTTCAGGAGATAATACATCATGAAGAAGAGTATACAGCTTTACAGCAGGCTCCAACACAGGTGCTGCAAGTCCAGTTGCAGGCCTGAAAACATCCATAATCCCAGATGGTGCTGCCTCATCCAGTGACTTGTAGTTCTCAAAAACCAGAGCAAGGATCTGTTCAATTTGATCTTCTGTTTCTCCTAAGATACGGTTCTAGCAACGCAGACCCCAAAAAGCAGTGTCAGAAGAGATAAAAGACTCAGGAAGATTATTTTAAACTGAAACTTGGCCGTATAGCACAAAATCAACTGGGAAGATAAGAAATGTAGAGTGCTACATATGTAATGATAGTAATGGTAGCAATAATATTAATAATAACAATAGTTTTAAACTGAAAAATTGGGTTGTACCTCTTGATGGCTCAATGTGCTCTTAGTGTGGCCCTTCATAACTATGGGCAATAGCAAATCATACACAAGCGTGAGACAGTCAGCTGTAGGCGTAGCCACATCCATGACATAAGAAAGATACCTAGAAACATGCATCAAAGAGGATCATTACCAAAGCAAAATGCTGGGTAAAGAAAAAAGTTAGTCTAAAACAATTCACTGCATAACTTAACCCAGTAGAGACAAATTCCAGTACCTTAGCTTTGTGTATGCGTCGGAAACCCCATAATATAATGCAAATTCAGTCAGTAACCACTTCCATTGTCCATGAAGCAATAAATTTCTTTGTTGAAAATGCTGCACTTTCATTGCAACTTCTAATACCAGATCATACGCCACAGTTTCTGCAACAGAGCCACACTACAGACCCAAAAAATAAGAGTTCAAATTATAAACCATTTTGAAGACACGATAATAGGAAGATTCCACATCCTTAAATTCAAACAACAAAAAATATTAAAATGGTTATTCCAGGTTCAAAGAATAGACAATAAAAATAAACTCTACTAGGATGGACTTTAACATTGACTAAAAATAATGTCAGCAATAAAAGGATATACATATACTTTTAGGCAGCCTTTCATTGTGATGTCATAGCGTCTATGAATAAAAGGGTATATGTCTGAGTCTTTCTATAAAGAATCAACACTATGATAAAAAAAATTAAAGATACTGAGTACTTAAAAATAAAAGAATAGAATGATACTGATACTCATCATGTTCATAGTATATGTCAAAACGGTATTTGAGCGAAGATCTCCCTTTCAATTCTTGATTAACAATTCGAAATTGTAATGACCCACTCCGCCACATGGTATGATATTGTCCGCTTTGGGCCTGAGCCCGCAAGGTTTTGCTCTTGGGCTTTACCCCAAAAGGCCTCATACCAATTGGAGTGACACACCTACATATAAGCACTTCACCTTTCCCTTACCCAGGCAATGTGGGATTGTGCACCCGTAACTCGCCAGTGTGGTAGCCTGCTAGTGTCTCGCACTCGTCCACGGCACACAAGGTCATCACAATCCACCCCCCTTGGAGGCCCAACGTCCTAGTCGGCACACTTCTGACTGGATCAGGCTCTGATACCATTTGTAATGACCCACTCCACCACATGGTATGATATTGTCCGCTTTGGGCCTGAACCCGCACGGTTTTGCTCTTGGGCTTTACCCCAAAAGGTCTCATACCAATTGGAGTGACACACCTACATATAAGCACTTCACCTTTCCCTTTCCCAGGCGATGTGGGATTGTGCACCCGTAGCTCGCCAGTGTGGTAGCCTGTCAGTTTCTCACACCCGCCCACGGCACACCCGCCCACGGGGTTATCACAATCCACCCCCCTTGGAGGCTCGACGTTCCCGTCGGCACACTTCCGGCTGGGTCAGGCTCTGATACCATTTGTAATGACCCACTCCACCACATGGTATGACATTGTCCGTTTTGGACTTGAGCCCGCACGGTTTTACTCTTGGGCTTTACCCCAAAAGGCCTCATACCAATTGGAGTGATACACCTACATATAAGCATTTCACCTTTCCCTTTCCCAGGCGATGTGGGTTGTTACAAATGGTATCAGAGCCTAACCTAGCCGGAAGTGTGCCGACGGGAACGTCGGGCTTCCAAGGGGGGTGGGTTGTGATGACCCTGTGGGCGGATGCGAGGCACTGACAGGCTACCACACTGGCGAGCTAGGGGTGCACAATCCCACATCGCCTGAGAAAGGAAAAGGTGAAGTGCTTATATGTAGGTGTGTCACTCCAATTGGTATGAGGCCTATTGGGGGTAAAGTCCAAGAGCAAAATCGTGCGGGCTCAGGCCCAAAGCGGACAATATCATACCATGTGGTGGAGTGGGTCATTAAAGAAATAAATGAAAAAGTGGAAATGTACACAAATCCCTCAACAAATTGTCAAAAATGTCACTCCAAAATCATCTTTCGTTCATTAACAGAGTGAGTCATTCCCAACCCATCTAATATGGCACAGAAAGCAACCTGGTACACTCAAGACAGCATTACTGGAGGATCCTAATTTTGCAGATGCTTCACACTACTACTATTAAACTTTAATTGAATTATGATGAAACAACTTCAAACATAAATTTCATAAGGACCAAGGCAGATGCTATTTTATAGAGAGCATAGGGGCTCACCTTAAGATTACTGTTTTCATCTAGAATTGTTGAATAATTTATGTAAAGCTGTACTCTTCCAACAAGCTCATGCTCTGGTTCACGATAAATAGACCACCAGCGTAGTTTGTCACCCTGCAGTAATCTTTAATATAAGCATCACATCAAAACAATCTGCATTACCAACAAATATTTGCAACTAAAGGGTTTAGGGAACTTCACTGGATCTTCTGCAATAGCAGCCACTTGAGCATGGACATGACCATATTGCTTCCCCTTGGAATCCTGGACTTCAACAATTAAATCATCCCCTAGGCTATCTGGAAAGCTGTAAAGTCGTCAATACCAAGACCTTTATCAGGCAGCTTGATATATAAAAGAAGATGAAGAATGGAAAGAATACATACAATAAATGGGTTTCACCAGATCCAGGTTGCATCCGAATGGCATCCTCTTCACTTGAACTTTTTAGCCGCAACAAGCAAGAGTGTGTTTCTGATGACATTCAGAAGAATCACTTTCTATTAAGAATTAATGTACAGTTATATCAAGTAACTATGCATTTAAAGGCTCAACATGTCAGTAACCCAAACAGCAGACGGTTAACTAAATGGGCTTTGGGAATAAATCCGCGAATCCAATATCATATGCTTATATGTCATCTAGAAATGTCCGTTATCAAGATGGACACCAACAGCTTCAAATTCCATGGCATTCCAGTGCCTACAACTAATAAATTTCAAAATAAATTTGTGATTTATGGTATTTGATATTCACAAAAAGGAGGCCATCAGAGTCCAAATATTCAGCGAACACAGCTTAGATGTCCAATAGTTGTGTCTCCAAGATGGTAAAACTAATATAATGCTCGTGCATGATTTACAAAGCAGAATCAATATACCTTGCACTACTTCATAAGATGAAGGACTGCTGCGCAGAGTTGTAACGCCAACTTTGAGGAGTCCAGATACCTGTTTTACATACTGAGCACTTGCTTGCACATATGCCAAACTCTGGCGAGGAAAAGAACCATTTGCAGGTATACGAGGTACAAAACGGATTTTCCGCACTGCTTGCCATCCAGAAGAAAGTGTTGAACGTAAACTAGAGAAGTGGTATCGAACAGATTCTAGTTTTATTTTTGGTGTCCTTAGGGATGAAAAACTGCAGCCTGTGGGTGGGTCCAGACCCATTTTAACCTTACGAACTGCACAATTAATAAATTTCAGGATGGCTTCATTGCCAGAAACCAATAATTGCCCAATGAAAATGTCCAATATGGAGATGAAATACTACCTTGCACCTTCATCTTTCCAACCATTTTCTTAGGTTTTGGGGCAGATCCCTCGTTAGAGAGCTCTGAAGTGCGCTTCATCAATAGTTCCTCTTCTGATTGTAATAGCACTTGCTGCAAACTGTAGTAAAAAATGAAATTGAAAGATTGGAGTAAAATAACTGGAACATCATAGAAGTATCACTCTTAGGTCCAAGATTAACATACAATACCCCTGTAATATGTATAACAATGAACACTAAGTGACATAACAACCATATATTTTACACTGCCAAAATAAGTTCGCATGATTGTAGAATTTATTGGATATACAAAAACTTAGTACAATTACTTTTATAAGCATAAAAGTTGACAAATTTAATCCTCCGCAATACTAGAATAAAAAACAATTTACAGCTGGCTTCACAATTGTTCATCATTTTTAGACTTCCCTGAAAATTTATTCAGGTAGCAGAGTTTTGAAGTTAAAAAGCTTGCAGTAATCATATGTTACTCTAAAGTGGTGTATAAACTAAATAGGTTTTAACTGGTAAAGGATGCAGCCAGCTAAGATGAAGGTGCTTGATGATTAGAAGTGATAAATAATATATCGAACAGATTCGAAAATAGAAGTCCACAACAATACATTCAAAAAAGTCACTGAGGTTTCACTCATGCGGTAAAGGGGTAAGTTGGATTAATAAATAGACAAGCACTGTTGAAGATGTTATAGGGCCTTAAATGATGATTAATAAAGCACCAAAAAGATAATGCAACAAAAGTTGGTGCAATGTAATTAATTGTAAGAGTTACATTTGCAGATGAAAATAAGGGATATAAATAACAAATCTAGAATCTAAAGAGAAGGTCTAACAAACTAAAATAGGCAAACCATGATTCTATTGCTGGAAACACACAACTGAGGTAATGCGCTATGGATTATTATTACTTTAAAAAATATTCTCTATACTCTAGCCGGTTTGATCAAGTTTTTTTTTTTTCCACGAAGAGTTAAAAGGATGAAGAACTAAAAAAAGAAAACAAACAAATAAATCTACCAGCTTGCTTACATTTTGCTTTCCTACTATCGGCATAATTAAATTATTTATATTCTGATTCAGTCCACTTAATCAAAATTGTAGTTTTACTCCTCAGTGGGAACAAGAGTTTTAGCCACTTATATCATTGTAATATTTTTTCCCCTGAATTATCAATGTGACATTCGCCTAAATATACCTTGTCATGCTTTTAAATAAATATCATGTTTGCAGACATCATTAGAAAATGAAACAGAAAGCCTTTCTAAATTATGACATTGTGAAAAATTAGGATAAGAGATTAAACTCACCCAAATGCATTTCGCAACAGAGCACATTCATTTTCCAGAAACATGGGCGCTTCCATGCATTGCCTTGCCCAAGCATGAAGGCAAAGTCGAACACAAGCGTCATATGCAATCACAGCATGCCATGGCCCTTGCGCACTGAATTTAAATAGCACAACATGCAAGTACAAGTGATGAAAATTATGAAAGCACATATAATTGTCAAATCCATATTCAGAATGCTATATCTCAGCTGAACTTCATCTAAATTATCAGTAAAAAATACCTTGCATGAAATGTAGGGAGGCGAGCTGGAAATGAACCTGAAGGTGTACCACTTTCTATGCCAGCAGCAGTCCTATGAAAAAAACAATATGGTAATTCTTTTGACCCAATTGAAACAATAGGAATAAAATGTGTTTAAGCATGTGAATATGCCTCACGATCTAAGTGCTATATAAGGTTTCTATGGAAGAAAATAGCAAAATGCCATACAGACCTGACAGACGGGTCAGGTATCTTCTGTCCAGCATTATCCTGTGGATAAACCCGAGCAGCCTGAGCAGGTATGCTTTCCGAAATATTTTTTTCATTTCTGACAGAAAAATCATCTGAATCAGCTACACGAGGTGTGCACCGTTCACTACGCATTGGACTTTGTTCAGTTTTTATGGTAGAACCACAAAAAGGAGGAGCACTTGGAATATCATCATCAGAGAGCCTTCCATTCTGCAAGTTTTTAGCATGTAATTCCTGCCAAATAGTATCCACAAAGCAAGTCATTATCTACATTTGAAGTGACCATTACGAAAGCAAATGTCACTGGTAATAAGTTATATCAAGATGATTCACCACAATCACACATCAATTATAGAAGAAAATGTTAAATTTTTAATAAATAAATATCTATTAAGCATTAAAGCAATGATACCAAGAGAGATGGGATACAAAAACCAAATTATGACGCAACTCCAAAGAACACAATATTCTATACAATCACCTATCATTCAGCACTTAAGAAAAACCAAATGGCACTTAACATACCTTTTCAGGAGCACTTTCCCCATTCATCCATGAAGGAATACTAGATGAATACCCCTCGGAAGCATACATAGTTGAGCGAGGCACGGGTCCATTCTTACTACCCATTTGTGAGGTTGAAAATTCAGAGCTAGTGGGAGAATCTGAGGACTCGTCCTCAGTGTGAATCGTATGACCATTCGTTCCAACCGGGTACCGATTGGCTCCCCTCATAAGCCTCTCCGCCACATTTCCATGCCCTCTATCAAGAGTTTCCCTAGACGAACTAACATCACCGGAGTACATAGAATCACTGGCATAAGCCGGTCGCCTCTGTGAAGGATTGTAGTATCTTCTAGCAGCAGCATTTGTAGGAACTCTATCATCCTGTGGCGACGACGAATCAAGCGAGTATCTTCCCCCATAAACCTCCTCTTCTTCTGAATCAGTGGTTAGACCATTCTCAGAGGCAGAGCCACTATCATCCACATCACCGGGCATGACTCGTGATACTGGAATTACCCCGGATAAATGCCCACTCACGAATTTCGATGGAGGAGGCAATCTAACACCTTGAGTACCACCACTCCGCGTGTTAAAAATGGGATCAACTCGAGGTCTTAGGTTCGACATTGAGTAAGGAACTTCCTTCTTCTGATTAACAGAACCCTGAATTTCAATTTCCATTCTAAATATCATGAAATCTTAATAAATCAAACAAAAATCCATTCACAGTGCAAAATGAACAATCAGTACTCATAAAAATTATAACAACTTCAATCTTTTAATCACAATGCACCAAAATCATGAAATGTAAATAAATCACAATAACCCATTCACAGTGCAAAATGAACAACCAATACTCATCATATATATATATTACAACTTAAATCTTGAAGCCTACAAGTAATTTAATCAAAATCCATATCACAAGCAATATTCATTCTATCATCAAAGGTAAATAAATCAACAACAACCCATTCAGTGAACAAAATCAACAAAGCAATATATTCATAAAAAAATTACAATTTCCCATATTTAAGGCAGAAATTAGATGAACCCAGAACCCATTTCACAATGCACCGCGAGAAATCAAAATTTAACACCCCCCAAAAAAAGGAAACAGAAGAAAAAATAAATAAATTGAAAGGAAAAAAACAATTGAGTATGTAAAACTGACCTCTCTAACCCATCGTCGACCATTGTTGTCAAGTCCTTCAGTGAACATATTTGCACAGGGTCTTTGTATGTACACAAGAAAATATATAAAAATCTTCTATAAAGCAAAACTATACCCGCATACTAATCCAAATTTAGAGTTTCAATGGCTTCTTTTGATGTAAATCAACTTAGATCAACCAAAACCAGAGCGATACAGGGTAGAGAGAGAGAGAGTGAGGGTAGTGGTGAAATCTGATATAGAAAGAGAAAAAGTAGAGAGAGAAAGAAAGAGAGAAGGAGAGGGGGGTAAACTTTGAAAGACTGTACGTAACCGAGAAGGGAGAGAAAAGCTCGCGAGTCCCCAAAAGTCCTTTTCGCTCAGCTCTGTAATGTGGAAGTAGTAGAGTACACCAAAAGCTTTGCTGTAGTTGGAATTTGGGGTGCTTTTTCTCCCACTACACTACCACTTTCTCTCTCTAGATTTATTATTCATTTGATTCAATTTTTTCAAGGATTTTAACAACGGAGACCGAATCTTTGAAAACAAGACATCCTTTAATATAGCACCTTATAGTGTACCTAATGTCTCAGGCTCACAACACGACGTCGTTCCAACAATATCAGCAAGATTGTCCGAAATATTCGAAAACGTCTGTGTGTGGAGTTGAACGGGGCAAGAGAAGCGGCGTATGAATCGAACGTTGGAGTCGTACACATAAATCCAAACACGCCTTTATCATTTGTTACATTTTCTCACTTCTGTACAAGAATCGTCACATGGGGTGGTTGGTGGACCCCACTGTATAACATGCCTAACATAAATACGTATGGTGTGTGTGTGTGTACTACGTATTACATGGCTAAATTACACTAATTGAGGCTTGACCTGTCTTAAATCACTGTAAAAAGTTTAGTAATATACTTATATTATAATAATATATAATATTATATTTTGTCATTTTATAAAATTTGATCAACAACTTTATAAAAAAAAAAAAAAAATTTGAGCATATGTAAAAAAATTCAGAATGGGTCAAATTAATAAATTCTGAAAGAACTTTAGTTTCTCATGAAGCATAAGGTTTAAAGTTCGAATCCTATTGAGTGCAAACTATTTATAGAGGGGGTGTGTGAGAATACCAACTTGGAATAAAAATAAAGATTGAACGGTCTATCCGTCCATGTGTAATTGGCTCAAACCTCATGGGATCGAGGTCATTGCGATTTACCCTATATATATATATATATATATATATATATGTTTCAGCTTGATGATATGATTACTCCTTTCCAAAGGAGTGTTAATTATTTTTGTTGGATTATATTGTAAGGTTTGTCGTGGTTGCCTTCACTTACCCAAATGAAAAAAATAGCTGAGAGGTTCAAGATCTTCCATCTCGATTTGATGACAGAGAAACTGTTTAAGTTCATGAATTTTCGTTATATCATCAACATAAAGTAAAAAAATAATGAAACCCCGATTAGTGTGTCGGATGAATAAAAAGTCATATGAGCCAATAGAGTATCCAAGATAAAAGATAGTTAGCAAAATTAAGCAAACCAATCTCGAAGTGCTTATTTGAGATCATACAGTACGTCTGAGTCGATACACCTTTATTGGGAGGATAATGATAACCTAAAGGATGATGCGTGTAAACTTCCTCGAATAAATTATCATTGAGAATTGCATTCGAATTGCATTCTTAACATCCATCTGAAAAAGTCCCTAATGACGAAAACAACCACAATAACTAGAGTGAATAGAAGGAATGCATGCAACATGAATAACTATCTCCTCAAAGTTACTGCCATACTCTTTTGTGAATCATTTAGTTACAAGTAGGGTCGTATTGTGCTCCACAGAACCATTTGAGCGAGTCTTAATCTTGTATACTGCAACAAACTTTTCAAAAGGCAAATCAACCATATCTCATGTCTACGTTTCGGCTAGTGCATCTTCTAACCTTATGTGATATTAAACAATGAAAAAAGAGTTCGGACAAAATCATTTTCAAAAGTATTTTATGAAAATGTGTGAAATATGTTGTTTTAAACTTTTTAAGTGAATAAATGTTTTGGAATAGTCCAAAAAAAAAAAAAAAAAAAAAAAAAAAAAAAAAAACTAAATTGAAATAGAGGAAGTACATGAGTTGATGATTCAACTTTTGTTACGGAGTGAGCTTGAAAACTAAAAAAGTGAAATGTCTTTATATAATAATAATATATTATATTGCATATAAGGTAGTTCTTGAAAAACCTTTCCAACTAATATATTCTATTGACGGACATTCTAAATTTACAAATTAATGGAATTCACTCAATTAAATGATTGGGTAATTTTTATTTGGATCTCCTGAAGTATGTCTATACATCAAATTGACTCCCTTAAATTTGCATAATTTCAGTTAGACCCCTACTCAAATATAGTAGGGTGATCAAGTCAATTGAGGGAACAAAATGACTGATCTACCCTCATCGTTATTTTACTCCAGAACAAACAACGTCTCACATTGATCACTAGGGAAAGGTTAGGAAATTAAAATTAGTCACTAAATTTTTATTTTTGAAAATTAAATTTGTTTCTTAAATTAAATTTTACAAAGATTAGGAATTGAAAGGATTTAAATTTTTGATTTTATCAAATCAGGATCCACTAGGTAAAGGTTTAAATTAGTCACTAATTTTTTATATTTGGAAATTAAATTTATTTTGGAAATTAAAGTTTACAAAGGTTAGGAATGGAAAGGATTTAAATTTATGATTTTATCAAATTAGGATCAACTGAGGAAAGGTTTAAATTAATCACTAATTTATTTTTTAAAAATTAAATTAATTTTGGGAATTAAAATTTACAAACGTTCAAGGATATACATTTATGATTTTATCAAATTAGGATCGACTAGGGAAAGGTTTACATTAGTTATTGATTTTTTATTTTTGGAAATTAAATTTGTTTTGGGAATTAAAGTTTACGAAGGCTAGGAGTTAGTTGAAAGGATTTAAATTTATTTTATGAAATTAGGATCCACTGAGGAAAGGTTTAAATTAGTCCACTAAATTTAATTTTTAAAAATTAAATTTATTTGAAATAATTTGCAAAGGTTAGGAATTGAAAAGATTTAAATTTCTAATTTATGAAATTATGAAATAAACTGTAATTTTAATAAATAATATTTTATTTGGAGTGAATAAATTCAAAGTCCAGAGAAATTGGAGAGAAATCGTAAAGGAAATTGGGGGATTGAGAAGGGTATTCTTGACTTTATGATTTATCCTTTTGATGAAGTCAGCACAAAACATCTTTGAAGGGGGGAATCCATGTATCCAAGGCTTCATTTTCAAATTCAATACAAACACATATTACACACACACACACACACATTAAATAGGTATGTAGCTATCATTAACTCTCCTCTCCATAGTCCATACTGTTTTTTTTGACAATGACAGTAAATCCACAGGCCAAAAAACAAAATGAAATAGAAGGTTCCATGGCTAGTTAAATTTACTCTACTCATCCAACGGTCGAAAGTGAGGTGGCAAAAGACCTGTGATTATAAATTGTGTGGGTCCCAAAAATTACATTTGATTTTGTTTTGTACAAACCCTTAAGATATTCAAGTCCAACAAACGCATGATCATTTATTATTATTTTGAACAGAACATAGTGTATATTTGAATTTTGTGTGATAGATAGTGTTCAGTGGATGGTCCCGGTTGAGATATAGAAAAATCATAAGAATATAAGACACTTTAATTTGAATTTTTTTGAATCAAATGTGACTCTTTTTCTTTCTTTTTTATTTTTTAAAATTTTTAAATTGATTCAAACCCACAGCCCATCATGCATGGTCCACCCACTCTGACCCCACACATAAACCATGACTGCCAATCATATGCTTTGTTACATTTTAAGTTTTTTAAATTTGTTACAACTGTTTGGATAAATAAATGATATCATCATGAAATGATCATTTTACTTATTTGTTTGAATTTATTTTAATTTTATTTATTTATTTATATCATTTGTATGGAACCGAAATAGATCTCACGGCTAAAATTTCACTTGATTTAGTCTCTCGGTCTCTCAAATGATTTTGAAAGTCTTTTTCTAGTTTTTTTTTTTTTTTTTTTTCACTTGTTTATTGATGCAAAATGAGATTGTTAAATTCAAATAGAAAGGGGAAAATAGAGGGGGGTATAAGATGAAAGAGGAAGAGGAAGAGGAAGATGATTCAAAAGCCTTGTTTGGTTAAGAATAGCGAAGGGATGGATAATATTTAATTCAAAAGTAGGAGAAAAAGAGAAAGAAATCAATAAATTATCTTTCCTCTTTTTCTTTTTAACGATATATATATATATATATATATGTGTGTGTATATATATAAATATGTCCTTTATTTTTGCTACCCAATTGGCAATACCCTTTTTATTCTTCCTCAAATAAAATGTGAGTAACACTCATTTCTTTATCCGAGGGACAACTCTCCATTATTTATACCAAATATAAATCAAACCATATAAGAATTTGTCTTGAGATAAGGAATTGGGTCAATAATATATATTTTAATTTTTAATTTTTCTCTTTAAAAGTAATTATGCAATTTTTGCTTACCTTACTAAAGCTATTCTATTATTGATATGGTGTAACGTGTGAGTATATGAACACTACTAAAAACAAAAGAAAACGACAACTACTATTATAACGCGAGATAATATATAGTTGCAAGTGGCACCATTTTTTTTAGCGGCTTCCATGGAATTTCTACTTGTATTATTATTATTATTATTATTTATTTTTATTTTTCTTTAGTATAGACTGAAGTGAACAAAAAAAATAAAATAATAAATAAATAAAAAAATTTATCAGCAAGGATTTTAGAAATTATAATTTTTTTTTATCAACCTTAATAGTTGAACCAATTACCATCTTTCTACTTTCAAATTACACAATGTAATTAACAAAGAGACCAGGAATATATTCACACACATGCATTGTCGGTCGTTTTCACTTGCAGACTAAAATAGCTCTCCTGTTCCAATTATTGTTCAATTAGACCATCCCAGAGTCTTGTCTCAATGTCTTTCAATTGAAGTGAGATGATGACCTGGTTACAACACTTTACATTAAAACCTTTCAAAACCATTACCACAATTGGCACCATCAGTATTCTTAAAGGCGCGTCTAGGCGTGTCTAGAGTCGAGGCGTGAATTTAGCGTCTGTTATCATCTCAAGTTCACTGATGTTTATCAGGTGTGCGCTTCAATTGCGCCTCATCCCAATTTGTTAGGCGCGTCAATGATTTTTTTTTTTTTTTTAAGAACTATGAATATTCTATTTCTTAAGCCAAAAAAGGTATTTTTGGCAACTTAATAAACAAATAAGAAAGTTCAAGCTTGCAAGAGAAGAAACGTTTGTTCAAAAGAATAAACAAATAAGAAAGTTCAAGAGTCAAAGTGTTAACCGAATAGAGAAAGAGTGAGATTGTGAGACAAACGGCGAATCTCTAGTTACAGAG